AATGTAATCTAGATTATTGACTCTAGTGCAAGTGGGAGACTGAAGGAAATATGCCCTAGATGCAATAATAAAGTTGTTATTTCTATTTCCTTATATGATGATAAATGTTTATTATTCATGCTAGAATTGTATTAACCGGAAACATAATACATGTGTGAATACATAGACAAATAGAATGTCACTAGTATGCCTCTACTTGACTAGCTCGTTGAATCAATGATGGTTATGTTTCCTGACCATAGACATGAGTTGTCATTTGGTTAACGGGATCACATCATTATAGAATGATGTGATTGACTTGACCCATCCGTTAGCTTAGCACGATGATCGTTTAGTTTGTTGATATTGCTTTTTCCATAACTTATACATGTTCCTATGACTACGAGATCATGCAACTCCCGAATACCGGAGGAACACTTAGTGTGCTATCAAATGTCACAACGTAACCGGGTGACTATAAAGATGCTCTACAGGTGTCTCCGATGGTGTTTGTTGAGTTGGCATAGATCGAGATTAGGATTTGTCACTTAGAGTATCAGAGAGGTATCTCTGGGCCCTCTCGGTAATGCACATCACTATAAGCCTTGCAAGCAATGTGACTAATGAGTTAGTTTCGGGATGATGCATTACGGAACGAGTAAAGAGACTTGTCGGTAACGAGATTGAACTAGGTATTGAGATACTAACGATTGAATCTCGGACAAGTAACATACCGGTGACAAAGGGAACAACGTATGTTGTTGTGCGGTTTGACCGATAAAGATCTTTGTAGAATATGTAGGAACCAATATGAGCATCCAGGTTCCGCTATTGGTTATTGACCGAAGATGAGTCTCGGTCATGTCTACATAGTTCTCGAACTCGTAGGGTCCGCACGCTTAACGTTCTGTGACGATCGGTATTATGAGTTTATGTGTTTTGATGTACCGAAGGTAGTTCGGAGTTCCGGATATGATCATGGACATGACGAGGAGTCTCGAAATGGTCGAGACATAAAGATCGATATATTGGAAGCCTATGTTTGGACATCGGAATGGTTCCGGATGAGTTCGGGCATTTTTCGGAGTATCGAGAGGTTACCAGAACCCCCCGGGGAGTGTATGGGCCTTATTGGGCCTTAGTGGAATAGAGGAGAGGAAGGGAAAAGGTGGGAGGCGCGCCCCCTAGCCCAATCCGAATTGGGTGCCCCCTTTCCTTCCCTCTCTCCTCCCCTTCCTTCTCTGCTACTCCTACTACTTGGAAGGGGGAAATCCTACTCCCGGTGGGAGTAGGACTCCCCTAGGACGCGCCATAGAGGGCCGGCCCTCCCCCCTCCTCCACTCCTTTATATACGGGGGAGGGTGGCATCCCATAGACACAATTAGATCATTTTCTTAACCGTGTGCGGTGCCCCCTCCACCATAATTCATCTCAGTCATATTATAGCGGTGCTTAGGCGAAGCCCTGTTCCGGTAGCTTCATCATCACCGTCATCACGCCGTCGTGCTGACGAAACTCTTCCTCGACACTTAGCTGGATCTAGAGTTCGTGGGACGTCACCGAGATGAACGTGTGCAGATCGCGGAGGTGCCGTACCTTCGGTGCTAAGATCCCTTGGATCGTGAAGACGTTCTACTACATCAACCGCGTTATCATAACGCTTCCGCTTACGATCTACGGGGGTACGTGGACAACACCCTTCCCCTCTCGTTGCTATGCATCACCTAGATAGATCTTGCGTGTGTGTAGGAATTTTTGTGAAATTACTGCGTTACCCAACAGCGCATGCAACATCTGCGGAGCTGGTGACTCCTAGCTAGACTCGCAAATTCAGTGCACACATGCGCAGTGTATTTGGTCGCTAGCTGAAGATGACCCGATTCACCATATTCAAGGGGCGGCAAAACCCACTGCCAGGAAATTGCTTTTTGCAATGTTCGAATCATTATCACATGCTCAAATATCAACCTTGGTAGTTTCACTTTGGGCTATTTGGTGTGCAATACGAAAACTTATTTATGAGGGAGTGCTGCAGAGCCCGACACATCTATTCATTAAGAGGTTCGCTCAAGAGCCGAATTTGATAAGAAGCCGTTGAGTCAGGCTCAACGGTAATTGTCACAAATGCTCCAAGATGGATCCCTCCTGAGCCCTCCCGAGGAAGGCACGGACGAAATTAACGTAGATGTGGTTGTAGCCAGATATGGTACCCGCGGCTCTTTTAATGCAGTGGCACTTAACTCGTCAAGAGTTTATTTGAGTTCTTCCATAGTGATGATTGAGCGAGTGAATGATCCTGAGATTCCGGAGACCATGGCATGTCGCGAAGGCCTTTCCTCGGTTGTAGATCTACACTTGTTTAAGGTAAAAATAGCAATTGATTGCAAAGGTGTGGTGAGTGACTTGATGAAGGAATCTTTACGATCAAATGCAACCATCCTCCACAAGATCGACCAACGAGCTTTATCCTTTGTTTCTTGCTCTTTTGTTCACGAAGAACACCGTTCTAATGTTGAGGTTGATAGCTTAGCGAAACATACTCTATCTCTACCTTGGGTCGTCATGTGTGGTTTTTGAATCTGCATGACCCTAAGGTAATTCCCGTAAACCTTTTACTAGAGCAGTAAAGTAAGCGTGTTTCCCCCCCAAAAAATTGGTTTTGTGTGTTTTTCAATTCTTGTTTATATATTGAAATGTTTTAAGTATGTATGTTTAAAAGACATAAACTTTCAAAAGATTCTTCGCGCATTTAGGAAAATGCTGACATAGTGCAAGAAAATTATTTGTCCAAATTTATAAATATATTTGTACTAGTAAAAAAATATTTATGAATTTTTAAAATGTCACATGTTTCAAAAAAAATATTCGTCTAATTTTTCACAAATGTTCACGTAATTTTTAAAAAGAGTTTACAAAATTGTAGAAAAATGCTTTGTACCTTTAAAAATATGTTTGGGGATTTTTTTAATTTCGTAATTAATTTAGGATTATTTGCGTAGCTTTAAACCATATGTTCAGACATTTTAAAAATCTGTTCACATGTTACAAAAAAGTTTCGTGACAGTTTAGAAACAGGTTTATATAATGTCAAAAACTCTTTGCGTAATTTAAAAGAAAAATCATTTCACATGTTCAAGAAAATGTTCGTGACATTTAGAAACTATATTTAATGTAAAATAAACTTCTCGAAGTTTAAAAAACAATCATTTCATACATTAAGAAAAAAGTTAGTGAAATTTCAGAAAACGTTTATACAATGTAAGAAAATCTTCGCATAGTTTTGAAAAACAAATCATACATACAGAAAAATATCTTTGACATTTTAGAAATATTCACGCATTTCAATAAATTATTCTTGACATTTTTAAAAAATATTTATGCAGTGTAAAGATGTTAGAGTTATTCAAAAATGTTTTGTATCATTTATAAAAATGTTTGTGACATTGGAAAAAATGCTCATAGTTGAGATAGGTCACCACTCAAGCCGAATTGTGATAATGTTCTAACATTTAACAATTGTTTTGCACATTCCTTTAGAAAAATGTTCAATGTGTTTAAAAAAATGTTGATCGCTTTAAAATAAAGAGTTAACCTGTATATGGAAAATGTTCAACATGTATTGGAAGAAAGACTGCATGTATTTGGAAAATAAGGAAAACAATAAAAGAAAAGGAAAGAAGACCGAGAACCGAAAAAACAAAAAATATGAAAGAAAGAAAAATTGAAAATCTACAAAGGAAATGCGAAGAAGAGAATAACTGCGATGTGGAACCGCAGAGACTATATCTCGCTTTAAGCGAGAGCTATTTTTGTCTCGCTGAAGAAAATGCCCCCACGCTGTAGCTATTGGCCCGACCTGTTAGCGCACGTTTAGAAGAAAGCAAGAAGAGAAGGCAGCTTTGCTAGCCACTAAAGCTAACTCCAGCTTCGTGTAAAGTCAAGGGCAGAACCTAGTTGAGGGTAAAATAGGCGGCTTTGCTGTTTTTTCCTGATTTTCTATATTTTCTTTCTTTTCTCACTGTTTTTTTGGTTTATTCTTTTGTTTTCACTGTGTTTCTTTTCTTTATTTTTCTTCTCTTTTCTTCTGTTTCCTCTTTTATCATTTTCTTTTGCTTTTTGTTTTCTTTTCCAGTTCCTTTTGCATTTTTTTCTTTTTGTTTCTCATATTGTTTGTCCTTTTGCCTTTCATTGTTTTATAGTTTTTCCTTCTTTTTTCTTAGTTTATTTTGATTTTGATTTACTTTTTCATATATGTCAATAACATTTTTAAATACATGTTTAAAATTTTCGCAATAAAAATTAATATTTAATTAATAAATGGTCAACATTTTATCCTAAACACATTTTTTAAAATCTTTGGTTAGCATTTTTCAAATGCAAGTTGAATACCTAGTCAACATTTTTTACACATTTTTAAAATGCTTTACTAAAAAAATTCAATTTTTTTTACATTTTTTAATACATGGTCAACATTTTTATACAAATTTAACATTTTCCAAATGCCTGATTATAACATTTTTCAAATACTTTTGATGAAGCTAAAGTTAGCATAGTGGGCTGGCCCACCAGTCCCAGGGTTCCGCCCGTGGGAAACAAAGGGGCTGACACTATTTTGTTTTGAGCAAAAGAGAGGCTTTTCCTCTCCGATTTTCATATATAAAGAAACCAATAGGGCTGCCACTGGTAACGTCAGCCCACAGGTTGGAGAGGCACACAGCAGTTCCAGTGGGAGTAGTCGTCTCACACTCTCACTTGGCCAACCTGTTCATCTCTAGACGATCCGAAGTAGTAGTTCCCCACGCCGCGTGTCCAACAGAAGGATGCAGCGTTGCAGCAGCACCGCCCGTGCGTCGGGGAAGAGCGCTTTCCGTTGATAAAATTTACATGGAAAATTTGTGAGATTACATTGAGGCATTCACCACAGTAACAAAGAGAGAAAAAATGAATTCAACAAAACACAAGGGAAAGAGCGAATCGACTCTGTTTTCTGCGACTGGCAGGAGACTACGAGCACGACACAATCAGAGCCCCAGAGGCCCCGGGTAGTAGCTGTCCTCGAAGCTCCATAGCTCGGCCGGTGCATCCTCGGCGGCGACACCGACGGCGGCAGGGGCGGCCGCGGCCGCGGCCCCGCCCTCCATGTAGGGGACCCCGAGGAAGCTCATGTAGCTCTCGTACGCCATCAGCTCCTCGGAGAGCGCCTTCACCTCCTCGCAGGAGCACGCCGCGGGCTCCTCCTCTTTCTTGGGGGAAGGGAGCACGGCCGCCATCGTGCACGGGGCCTCGTGCGCGGGCGCGCCGACCAGGATCTCGTTGGGGAAGTTGACCTTGGCCTTGGCGCCCCTGATGCGGCGCGCGGCGCGGTCGTAGGCGCGCGCGGCGGCCTCGGCGGTGGGGTAGGTGCCGAGCCAGACGCGGACGCCCTTCACGGGGTCGCGGATCTCCGCCGCCCACTTGCCCCACGGCCGCTGCCGGATGCCTCGGTACTGGTTCGTCCGCCCCCGCTTCGCGCGCGGCGCTGCAACCAAACCAAACCAATGAGTTTTACTCCTACGCACGGACGCCCGTTGCCAAAGGGAATACTGTGAGGTGAGTTTACCTTTGTCGGGGGCGGCGCTGTGGGCGTCGGAATGGTCGGCGTCGGGCCAGAAGTCGGCGGTGGACACCCGGCGGCGGTGCGCCGGGATGTAGTCGTAGATGATGGCGCCGCCGCACATGGATGGATGGAGACGTGGGGTGCCTTTTTAGGTGGCGGGAAAGGCTAACTGGAGAAGGCTCGATCGATCGATGGATCCAAAGCGTAGTGGAAACAAGGGGAGCAAGGCGGCTGCTGGGACTGGGAGGGGTGCTTTCAGCGGCGGACGGGACGTTGGATTGGGTTGAGTTGGACGGTATGAGGCTACCGCCACCGTGTTTATATACAGGTCGGAATTGTGGGGGCCAGCCACCAGCCAGGGAATGGATCGAGGAACGAATACGCGCTGGACGGAGGCTAGGTTATCTTCAGAGCTACGGCACTTATCCGTTCCTGGTCGCTACTCACTCCGACGGAGGCCAGTGAGCTTTTGGTTACTGGTGCTATCCGATGGGAGACGTTAGCTCGGGATATCTTCAGCCGGTTTGGATGGCGGTCATGTAATAGGATAGGCAATTAGTTTATCTGTCTATTTTTGAGCCAACCGGTTGTGGTTTATCCTTTATTTGGCTAGCTTGTGTATCTAGCCTTTGGGCTCTGTGTGAGCCTTTCTTCTTCATTTTATTTTGCTACTTTTGAGATTTCGAGACCTTGTGGATGATTTATTGTTAATAAGATGGCCGTATGCATCATGCTGATGCAGAGGCCGAGGATCCCTTTAAAAAAAAAACGCGCTGGACGGAGGCGGCATATCGTTTTCTCTTCTTTGAACGGAGGCCGCACACCGTTTCTTTGCCGCTGTTTAGCCGAATTGAAACCTGACGCGGCTCCTTTTTCTGATTCTTGGAGCAGACGAAAGTGGATACCGCTGCACGCCGCAGCGATGAACGACTGATCGAGACGAAGCTGTGTACTACTCCCTCTATAAACTAATATAAGAGTACTTTAGTGATTTAAACGCTTTTATATTAGTTTACAGAGTACTAAACACGATGGCCAAGAACCACGTAACTTTAGCAGCAGAATGCAAGTCAATCTTGGTGTGCTTGACTTATCTCAACGTAAATAGGCAGGTAAATAGTCCGCAGATTATCTCAAAACAACAGCAACCGACAGTGACGGAGTCGGGATTTTTTATGCGGGCATATGCAGAGTCATTTTCTCTTTAGAACGCGACAATGTAAGCCATAGAAAATCATAGATACAGTCTTGTATATTTTAAATTTTCATAACGCGAAAATGTAGATGCATAAATTCAACTTGTTCCTCTTGCTTCTTCTGTTGTCAACAACCATAGGAGGTTTTAAAGCCAACCGCTACAGCATCTCTAACGCGACCTCAAACCGCTCGAATATGTCTGAATCACGCCGTTTGAACATATCTTATCATCCAACACGGTCTTGTATTCGTCCGCAGACCGGTCTGGACATCTTTTTTCCCGCAAATCGGGAGGCTTTGCGGGCGCCAGGACTGCTGACACGCACGCCAAAGTGGGAAGGCCCTTAGCGGGTAGCACGAGTCACCAGGCCTGACGCAGTCTGTCTAGAGACCGAAGATGGTATTCGTGTGCAAAACTCGTGGAATATCAAGCATCGTTGCAAGTTCTACCCATAAGGCACTATTGCCAAGCCTCGTCCCGGCAACCCCTTTTGTACAAGCCTGGTCTCAAAGACTCGTAACCCTTTATACGAAACCAGGCGAAGAGGATCTTGTGTGTATGTGAATAAAGCTAAGTATTCCACAAACTTTTATCTATATTTACTTGCGTACTAATACATAATATGACGTGGTTACGCATTGTTTGAATGAAATGACTAACATGCCGCCAATATATCCGCATTGTCTGTCCTTCTTCTTCCTTTTTCTACAAAGACAGAAGGATTCCTCACGTGCATGTTTCTCGGGGAGGACGATAGGGTAACCACCATTTCGGATGGCGTTTGGCACGTTTGGCGTTCATTTCATACGATGAGAAGTACAACAAAATAAGATAAGTTGAAAACATTTTCAACTAAAATTTCATTGTTTACATCTTGAAGATTCCCCTTGCGCGATCCTATATTTGTACGAAAACCTATACGTGAGGGAACCTTGTCATGTTTCGTTTTGCACTCTAGCTCTCCCTCGAGTCCGTTCGGCGGAGTCTGTGCAGCTGCAGTGGTCACACTTCCAGCAGGCTGCTAAAGACCAGCTCTTCGAAGCGCTCGCGGCAAGTGTGCACCCCGACAAACGTCCAAATAGCGTAGGGTGCTGAATTAAAAATCGTGCAAAAACAGAGATGAGTAAGGAGAATAATACACATTTATTTGAGCACATTGAATGTCACACATTTACTGAAAAAGGAAAAGTGCTCGATAGTGTCTTTCTTGGCCCTTTCCTCCCAGGGTTTACATCAAGTGGAAGGAGGAAAAAAGAGGCGCCTAGGCCAAGCGCTCCCGGCAGGACATCCTGCCGGTGTCCAGCTGAAGAAGATGGTGCTGCCGGCGTTCAGCTGGAGTCCGAGTCATCGTCTTCGGATTTGACGCTCGGGGACTCACTGTCATCGTCTTCACCATCTGGGTCCTCCTTGTCGCTATCGCTCAAGGAGGAGCCTTCGCTGTTGCTCGAGCTCTCCCGGCAGCACTCCATGCGAACGCTGGAAGCCCCGAAGAACTTCACGGAGAGCGTATCGGGCTCCACCAACTTGAAGTGGAGGAGGTGCCCCTCCGCCAGATAGCGGGCATGAGCGAAGGATTTCCACCCGCGCGTAACGAACATGACCCATTCACGGGGTACTCGATGTTCACCCACACGGCGCCATTGGGGCAACCGTTCACGCGTAGCCACAGGCCGAGCGACTGGTCGACCTCCATAATCCTGGCGAAAGGACGAGGAAGACGCAACCGGCTTCGCGGTGGGTCTCGCAGCTCCACAACAAATTCAAGCGCTGTGTTCTCTGTGTGGCCTTCCACCGGCGGTGGAGCAGCTGGAGGCGGAACGACGGGCGCCTCGCTTCAGCCTCCCTGGCCATGAGCGCTGCGTCGACCACGACCTCGTCCTATGGCCCCGCCCTGTGCATTAGAGCCGGCCTCCACGGCCGCAACCGAGGCAGGAGCGTGATACCGAGGAGAAGCTCTCGCTGCGACGGCGGAAGCACGAGCCCGGCCTCTTCCTCTCGCCATGGTGGTGGCAGTTGTAGAAAGAATGAAGAAGGGGGGAGGGGGCAGATGAGCATCGCTTCCCGCAGTTCCCCCCTATATAGGGAGAGGCTCGGGGGCTAGCTCTCCATTATCCTAGGGTAACCGTCCTGCTTCGCCAATCCCACGCCCTGCATTCCTGGTGAGCGCATTACTCCACCAGCCGCCCACTCTCGCCAGTCCGGCATCCTGGCTCCTCTGTTCAAGGCATTTACATCTACGACCGCCTCTTTGCGCCAATCCCATGTCGTGCGCCTAATCCGTGTCGTGGGAGGCTGCGGTAAAAGGGGAGGAGGGGGAGTGACAACAAAGATGGAAGTTACCCCAAGCCACGCGTGATCGTGGGCCTGACTAGGCTAAACCTGGTGGCAGCCCACATACGTACGCGCTCCTGGTTTCTGACGTAGACAAGACAATGGGCACCACTTGGACGACAAGGATGCCGGAGGAAAGGCGGGGGCTGGCACAAGTTCGGATTAATGAAGAAGCAAAGAAGATTCCAAAACATTGGCGTCATCCCAATAAGATCAACGTTGTTTTGTCTATGCATTGTTTTGGCCTCGCCCAACGATGCCTGGCGGCACGTGTGACCAAGGCCCGGGGGCTCCTGTTGGTGTATTATGTTGGGGAACGTAGTAATTTCAAAAAAAAATCCTACGCACACGCAAGATCATGGTGATGCATAGCAACGAGAGGGGAGAGTGTTGTCTACGTACCCTCGTAGACCGGAAGCGGAAGCGTTAGCACAACGCGGTTGATGTAGTCGTACGTCTTCACGGCCCGACCGATCAAGCATCGAAACTACGACACCTCCGAGTTCTAGCACACATTCAGCTCAATGACGATCCCCGGACTCCGATCAGCAAAGTGTCGGGGATGAGTTCCGTCAGCACGACGGCGTGGTGATGATCTTGATGTTTTACCGTCGCAGGGCTTCGCCTAAGCACCGCCACAATATTATCGAGGACTATGGTGGAGGGGGGCACCGCACACGACTAAGAGATCAATGATCAACTGTTGTGTCTATGGGGTGCCCCCTGCCCCCGTATATAAAGGAGTGGAGGAGGGGGCTGGCCAAGGAGAGTGGCGCGCCCTAAGGGGGAGTCCAACTCCCACAGGGAGTAGGACTCCCCTTTTTCCTATTAGGAGTAGGAGAGGGAAGGAAGAGGAAGGAGGGAGGAAGGAAAGGGGGGGGGGGGCGGCCCCCCTCCCAATTCGGATTGGGCTTGGGGGGCGCCACCTCCCTTGCTCCTTTCCCCTCCTTTCCACTAAGGCCCAATAAGGCCCATATACCTCCCGGGGGGTTCCGGTAACCTCCCGGTGATCCGGTATTGTCCCAATCTCACCCGGAACCTTTCCGGTGTCCAAATATAGTCGTCCAATATATCGATCTTTATGTCTCGACCATTTCGAAACTCCTCGTCAAGTCCGTGATCATATCCGGGACTCCGAACAACCTTCGGTACATCAAAATATATAAACTCATAATAAAACTATCATCGTAACGTTAAGCGTGCGGACCCTACGGGTTCGATAACAATGTAGACATGACCGAGACACTTCTCCGGTCAATAACCAATAGCAGAACCTGGATGCTCATATTGGCTCCCACATATTCTACGGAGATCTTTATCGGTCAGACCGCATAACAACATACGTTGTTCCCTTTGTCATCGTTATGTTACTTGCCCGAGATTCAATCGTCGGTATCTCAATACCTAGTTCAATCTCGTTACCGCCAAGTCTCTTTACTCGTTCTGTAATACATCATCTTGCAACTAACTTATTAGTTGTATTGCTTGCAAGGCTTTGAGTGATGTGCATTACCGAGAGGGCCCAGAGATACCTCTCCGACAATCGTAGTGACAAATCCTAATCTCGAAATACGCCAACCCAACATGTACCT